GTAAGAATGTCTTTCTTCAGTGCCTGGAATGTATGGGTGTGTCAGGTCCCCCATACAAATTCTGATTGATTTCACAAAGTTCGTAGAAGGTGCTGATACAGTTAGACAGATGTGGTGTCATTCGCTCAGATCAGTTTGCCCATGCCAAACGAAGGGTTGTAACCCTTGACACTCCTTCTGGCTCCTCCATTGCAACGATTGCTGCCACCTTTTAGTAGGTCGGGTTCAACACCATGCTGATCGATTGATTGCCAAAAGAATGGTCTTCTTGACATTTGATCCTCATTTCTCTGGGTTGACTTGGTCCAGTGGACGTGCGTAATCAAGAACACTTTCAAGTTTTGGTCATGGGTCAGATTAGCCGGGCTTCCTTGAAAACCTACGATGATATGTCGTCGGCGGTGCGTCACGACCAGGTAAGTCACCAAAGGTTCTGTGGTCACCTTAAACGCTCGGAACACATCCTGAGCACATATTAGCCAAACGCGGAGAACGTTTGATGCTAAATCGTCCAAATAGGGGTTGAATGAGTAAGTAGGAGCTCTTCGTCATCGACGTTTGATATTCCAAATAGCCCTTCGCGGCGTCCAGGATGGCGAAGAATTTTGCCCTGTCAGCTGGTAGAAACACATCAGCGTCGGTGTAGGAATGATGAGGTCGTGCGATAGCTTTATTTAGGTCTCTGGGTCGAGGCAAAAGTCCTCAGGCAATCCACGTTGGCTTTGTACGTAGACCAATGGAGGTTACCCAGTCTGTAGGCTCTGTACCCTGGCAATGATGTCCGTTCAGTCACAGCTTCTCCAGCTCTCCTCAGTGGTACTTGTAGAGCTACTGGTACTTGCGTGGCGGATGGACCTCTGGTCGGTAACTGAGAGGTAATCCACAGTAACGTGGTATTCTCCTTGGAAACAACCCCGACACGCCTTGAGCAATCGATACTCGTCTTAGGCACCCCACGCCTGTGCCTGTTGGTACACAAACTACATGTTATTCCGGCCGGTTGTGGGTTGCTTGGAGTTCGTGTAGTGATTCCCGGCAGTTGCTTTCATCTCTAAACTCATTAGTTTTAAGTAAACCAGTTACCAAGTTACCGTGATGTCGGCGTCCCAGGATCCACTGGACCTTAGCCTTGAACTTTGGAACTTGGTTTTGAATGAAGGTTTGCCGAAAGTACTCTAGGATTCAATTCCCAATTGTTACTTTGTGAATCACACATAAGCCGTTATAGTAGCGTAGATGTTTAATGTTTCATGGCGTATTCGATATCACACAGGACTTCGCGGATGAGGATCTTGTATGGTCGAAGGGCATAGGTGCGTTACCTTGTGCTCCCGTGTCCGGCTTGCAGTTCAGCTTCTTGCGGCCTGCTGGTTCAAGGGTAGTTCACTAGGTCTTCTGTGTCGTCAGCTGTCGTTGTTCTAGACTGTGGAAATACACGTCTCATCTTCATCCTGGGCTTCTTCCTGGTAGTATGTACACGTGTGTGTGACGATCGTCTTACCACGTGCCTCCTGGTTACTGTTTTGTTCGCGTTGACTGGTTGTCTACCGAACCGGAACGAACCACCACCTTCAAAGGTCATCTTTTATTTACCACAACCATCACATGTTGTGCCGTGTGCTGGACAAGGCATCAGGTTTTGGTGTGATATGGGCACACTGTACTACTGAACGTGACGAGGTGATGATCTGGGCTGGACTGTGGAACCATCCTCGGTGCTTTTCCACGTCCTGTGCGGTGTGAGAATGTTCTCGGTGTGTGCTGGTTTCTGCTCCAATTGCACTGGTAGTAGTAATCATTCGTCGTCTGGAATTTGGCTGTTATTTCCGTTACTTGACGTGACTTGGCTTTCTGCTGCACGTTGCGATTTCAATGGCTTCGGCAGTTAGGTTCTCTTCTTTACCGGTTAATTTTCAATGACAATCCTTCATTATTGGCAGCGACTAATGATTAGCATATGATCTGTTCATCTGCGTTGATATATCACACGCTGACAATGAACTCGAATACGTTGACAAATGAGTCTATACTTCATCATCGCACTTTCCTTGCTGAATGTTCGTAGTGCGAGTGCAACCCGAAGTTGTATTGGAGGCCAATTCCCTAAAGTTTTGTCAAAAGTTCGTCCTAGTTTTCATCCTTTTTGTCGTCTTCATGTCCAAGTGCAGCTAGTTCAAATGCCTTTTCTCTCGACCCGCCTCAATAGAGTACTTCACTTTATATCCTCTATAGATGAGGTCAAGTCCATAATATCAGTTCACCGAGATCGGCATTCTTCAATGGCGTGGGTAAATCCTGAGAAGTCCAGTTCGGGATGGGCAGCCCGTAATCCTGTTAATTCAGAGCCATTGTATGATTTGCACGCGGTTTTCCCACAGCTATGCACTAGTCCCAAGTTCAACAAAGCGATGCATCGGATGCACCTACTCTTCGTGTCCGGCATGGCTGCCGATGTTCGTCACTCCAAGCTATCCAATGGAAGGCGATTATTTGGCGCCATACTTTCCGAGGGAAATTGTCAGCAATAATCCGAATTCACTAATCGAGTGCGTGCGTGATGTAGTGTCCTTTCGTAGGTACTCTGACACATGTTAATGTTATACGTTGTCCTAAACGGATGTGTATTGATTAGTTAAGACCTTCTGTGTATAATCCGTAGAATTGCCAATTGAGACAAAGCACAGTTTAAGAACAATCACGTTTTATTGCTTTTCTCTCAGCCAACGAGGGCGACACCTAGCGTCAACAATGTTATGTTATGGTTATTATAAATTTAGTGCGTGGATATACAACGCGTTTTATTTACGATAGCCTGCTCTAATGCTGATCTAGAACATGAAATGTGTTGAATTTTCGTAAGCAGAGATGGGGTCGCGCTGATAGAAAATGGTTGCCCCAAAGGAAGGGTTTCAAGATTGTAGGGGGCTAATTTGGGCTCGCGAGGGCCGAAATCGCCGTCGCCCTGGTTATTCCGACGCTGGGCTTCAAGCACAGCACACAGCGCGTGGCTGCGTCACATGCTAGCTGGCGGCATGGATGATGTTCGGGGGGCAGATTGTTTTAAGTCACGTGGGGCATGTTGTTCTCGTATATATGAGGGAATCAGGATTGGCTTGCATAGGAGTGACAACAGCAACCATTATTCCGTGAAGTGCAGGAAAGGCGTTCCGGCACCAAATAACGTGGAATTTCATTACGATTTTCTATGTATATACTGTAATATCAGGCGTGTATAATATCAATATATATATCTCTATGTATAATATATATATATAGCTATCTATCTATCTATCTCTCTATATATATATATGTTATAGGAGATATGTTAAAGGAGGTTAAGGATATACTTGGGATTCGTTTATTGCGTTTGAGAAGGCTACTTTTGGCCCTTGTCATGATTGCAAATGATGATGTTTTTATTACTTTATCTGCTTCAAAACTTGTTTTCGTTTTTTTAGAATGGGGAAAAATTATGATAAAAATGGAAAAAAGTTTTGGAGCAGGTAAAGTACTAAAAAATATGAGCACTGACCTCAGATGAGCATTTGACAATTAAGAGAACCATTGTACGTGGTCATATGAGCCAAGAGGGATTCAGAGTCTCCATGTTGAGAGCCAGGTCTTACAGCTTGAGAAAATTTACTGCATGGGCCAGGGCTTGAACTAACAGCCTGCAAAGTGAAAGGTAGACCTGCCAACCACTGGACCACTGAGCTCTCTAGTCATAATATCTGGTCGTCACTTAGTACGCAGGCTTTGAGTTCTAACAGAAAACTTGTTTTGGTTATAAGATGGAAAAGGCAATCGGGTTAGTATACAGACAAGTATTGCCTGAAGAAGAAAACGGTTCGGCATATTATCAGGGTTCAAATTTAACACTCACTAACTCGCTAAATGCAAGTTGATTTTTAAATATGCAGGTAGAGATTTTCGTCACTTGCATTATTTAGCGAGTAGCTAGCCTTCGACACGAATGGTTGTCTAATTGCCCGGGACAAGTGATAGAGCGCTAGGTCGCACAGTTAAGCGTGGCTGTGCGTGCCCGGCTGGGGCGGCATTGGTTTTTATACGGGGGGGGGGGGGAGTGCATAATCTTTTAAGTCGTGTTGGGCATGTTCATTTCTGAATGTGTAGGGGGACAGATGAGATGAGAGAGTGACAGCAAAATTTCTTGGAATTGAGGAAAAAGCTGCGGGATTGGGAATGACACACAATGAGCATGCCGGCACGCGAAAATAAACGTTGTGTGAATTTCATTACGATTTTCCATGTATATACTGTAATGTGATATGCACTGAACCCAAAATGGACCTTAACGGCTCATAGATTGTAAGTAAATTTTGGACAAGTACAATCAAAATTCGGACAAGTAAAAATTGCTTCTTGTTGCCCGACAGGACAACCAGATCTGAAAATAAACATCGAGGCCTATCATATAGCATTAGGATTGTCTGATGTAATTGATGATGTAGGTGATCCGCCAAGAACCTGTATCTATTATAGGGAACCGTTTATATTTGCATTTTTTAGTGGACTCATATATGCAACCTAACAGACACGGAAAGTGACCGTTTGCTATCTAGAATCTTTTTAGAACATTACCGGCAGTGACAGATAAAGGTCATGAAAACTTTGGAATGAAACGATTAAAAATAGTCCCAGATTTTAGAATTCTATCTAGATTTATTCACTCTTTATGTTAGTATGATATTTGCTATTGCAGCCTACTCTTAATTTGTACAGTGTTCAAAACTACCGCTAAGTTTAAATGAGCAAATATGAAAACAAATGGTTGATGAAAGAAAGTGGTAAACAGTGTTGTAGAAATTTGTGGTCCATGCATACACTGCTACAGTGTACAGGAGCACAACCATGTTACTTCTAGTTTTACATTAAGTTAACTTAATTATTAACTTAACCTTCAAAATATATAATTAAAAGAAAACAGTTCTGCATATAATTGATATCTATTTAGTAATATAGTGTTGATATATAAACGTTTTTGTTGCAGCTTTCCTTGAGTAAAGCGTCAACTGATGCCAATGAGAAATGGGCTTCTAAAGAGTGAAGACATAGAACATGTCTGGTTCAGCCTTCTCCCAACAAGGCCGCATAATGGAGCACACAAGAACAGCCACTACTTCTACTGGGTCTATGGTCGGAAAGAAACCATGGAAATGTAACGTCTGTGATATAGGTTTTCGTCAAAAAACTCAGATAAAGGTACACATGAAAAGTCACACAGGAGAGAAGCCATATACATGTAAACCGTGTGAAAAAACGTTTTATTCATCTGGCCATTTGGGAAAACACATGAAAATTCACACAGGAGAAAAACCATTCAAATGTAATATGTGTGAAAAAGCCTTTACTGCATCTGGCCATTTGAGAGAACACAAAAGAACTCACACGGGAGAAAAACCATATGAATGTTACATATGTGGAGTTTCTTTCACACAGCAGTGTGCTGTTATAAGACATATGAGAACTCACACAGGTGAGAAACCATATAAGTGTAGTATGTGTGATGCTACCTTTCCTGAGAAAATGAATGCAATTATACATGAGCGGACTCATACAGGGGAGAGACCGCATAAATGTGACATGTGTGGAGCAAGCTTCTCTCAGAAATGTGGTTTGACAACGCACTTGCGAACTCATACTGGTGAGAAACCTTTTAAGTGTGATGTGTGTATGAAAGCTTTCTCTGCAAAGCACAGTTTGGTGTCCCACATGAGAATACACACGGGGGAGAAACCATATGAATGTGATTTTTGCGACGCGGCTTTCACTACGGCAGGAGCAACCCAGATCCATCGCAGACAACATACAGGAGAAAAACCATATAAATGTGAACTGTGTGATTATGCATGCTCAGAGAAGGGTAACTGGACGATACACATGAGAACTCATACAAAAGAGAAGCCATATGCGTGTACGATGTGTAAGAAGACTTTTATCAGATCGACTCAGTTGATACAACACTTGCGAACTCACACTGGAGAAAAACCGTACAAATGTGATGTGTGTGAATCTGCTTTTTCTCAGGAAGGCAACCTGAAGAGACACAAGACAACTCACACAGGAGAGAAACTATTTAAATGCAATGTATGTAATGTAACTGTTGCTGAGAAAGGAACTTTGACAAAACACATGCGAATTCACACTGGAGAAAAACCGTACAAATGTGATTTGTGTGATGCAGCTTTTATTACTTCAGGTAACCGGAAAATACACATGAAAACCCATACAGGAGAGAAACCGTATAAATGCGATCTATGTAACGACACTTTTGCCTGCCGAAGTTCCTTAAAGTCTCATATGCGAACCCACACAGGCGAGAAACCATATAAATGTGATCATTGTGAAGCTGCCTATTCGATGCCACATAGTTTAAGGCTTCACCTCACAACTCACACAGGAGAGAAACCATATAAATGTGATTTGTGCCAAAGACGTTTTGCTGTTCAAGCCTATTTGACAAAACACATGAGTACTCACACCGGCGAAAAACCTTATAAATGTAAGCTCTGTGAAGCTGCTTTCCCCAGAAGTGACCGTTTGAAACATCACTTGAAAACTCACGTAGGACAGAAACCATAAAAATCTAATCGTGGTATGAGCTTTTCGAGAGCAGTGTCATTCAAAGTCACATCAAAACGCAGTAGAGGAAGAGGATGTGTGAAAAATTATTGTAATTGCTGGTCAACGTATCTGCCCTTTCTATCACCAATGAAGTATGGAAATTTGTCAACCATAATTAACTTCTTTCAGAAATCGTTCACACATTCATCATGTAAACAAGTAGTCGGATGTATCTTGTGAGTTAGTTAAAGACCATAGAAGTCTTGATCAAATGAAATTACGACACTACAATTGTGTGACAGTTTGAAAAGAAAAGCCATGTATGTGTTTATCTATATTATAATTATAATAATATAAGGGCAGTATTCTCTAGTAACCAAGTGAAAACATGGACATGGGGAAAGCGTGGTGGACAAATTTACGATGGTTAGAGAGACATTGCAAAAAATGGTTAAATTAATTTTATAAAATGAAGGCAGTTTTATTGTTGTATTTACTTCAGCACATAGCGTGCTTGTATTGAGCTGAGCTGAGCTGAGCTGAGCTGAGCTTGTAAACAATTGCTGAGCAGGATTCCACTTTTGATTTGATGAAGGGAAAAGGTTTAGTTTTAGCACAAAAGTACTAGTGGGAATATGGTTATAATGTTTGGCAACTATTTTGCTAATATTTGAATTTATTTTTATATACTTTTATTTAATTTCTTCATGCAAGTGTGGTCATATCGTTTGTGTTTTTTCAATAGTAACTAATTGCCATATTCACTGTGCTAAGCGTTCTGGAAATATGGTTTGACTGCATTTTCCCTGCAATTTGAACCGGAACTTGACCATTTACTAGTTGGAGTTTAATTCGAATTTCAATGCAACATGAATGTTATTTGATAATCGTTTTACATGTTTGTGCAAAAAAATATTGTCATAATTGTTGTCATTGATATAGTCACTAATTGTGTAGTTATTATTAGTTTCACTGTTATTGTTGTCACAGCAACCAAGTTCCTACTACGCTTGGGAGCAAGCACAGCCGTAGCTAGCGGGAATGGGTAGGGGGAGGGGCAAAGCAGTTCCGTTCCCCTGGCCTTGACAGTACGTGCCACTGGTATACTGCGCACTGTTAATTGCCAGAACACAAACTGCATATTGCCTTGCACCCCCTGCCCAAGGGCAGAATGAATTAGCCACGGCCCTGACACGTTTATAATCGCGAGTTGTTTTTAAAATTGGTTGGTATACAAAGCCCTGCAACGGTGTTATGGATTCTTCTAATAATATCCTTAATATTTAGTTGTTTTATAAATGGCCAAATAGTAGCCATTTTTAGTTGTGCATCACCAATGAAAAAACGAATAAAAACGAATAAAATCACGTAAAAGTGCAATTCAGATAATCTTCCTGCAATATTTTTTATTGCCGTATCTTGTAATTTTCCCACAAATTTATACGATTTATGAGAATTACTAAATTCAATTGTGGGACAGGAAAATCGCATCACTGTGTGTAACACGTCACCATTGCATGTTTAATGAATAACAAAGGAATAAAGTCACGTGTACAACAATAGACTTCAAGTAAATTACCTCAATGCAAAATAAATCGATGTTCTGTAGTCGCTTTTCATAAATAATGCATGTATATTTCAAAATATATTTACAAGTAGTATATTATCTACCCTAGTACCTATTATAGTACCAATAGTATCTACTATAACAACCCAGGGGTGGCACTCTCTACAAAATGGGGTAGGTATGTGCCACTTGAGAGATGGAATTGGAGGGCTCTGGTACTAACTCAGCCCATCAAGATGGGGGTCTCCGGAACTAGGGTTTGCGGTGAAGCATGATGCTCCGGAACTGGACATGTTTGCAAGATGGGGTATCTGGAACTGGACATGTTTGCAAGAGGGGGTCTCTGGAACTGGACATGTTTGCAAGAGGGGGTCTCTGGAACTAGGATTTGCTAGGATTTGTCTCCAGAATTATTGCTTGCTTGAAAATGAAAGCATTTGGAGAATAGGTTAAGTCACTAGAACAGGATTAATTAAAATATAATGGTTCAAGTATGATATTCTCGCAGTGACGCGCTCTCCGCGGCCGCGGCAGCACTATATGACCTTGGAGGCATTGGAACGGGACCAGAACCCCCCGTAATACAGAAAACTTGCCAAGGGACCAATGAGAATTCATGTGTCTCCTGAATGGAAAGAAGTAGAACCTATGCTCCGGGACGGGAAATATGTGAAAAGGGGGTCTCCGGTGCGGAAATTTGGGGTTACCTATATGCATACCTTCTTATACCTACCATACAATATATATGGAGTGCCCCCCCCCCCCCGATGACAACTGGTACTGATGGTTCTTTAGTTTCTGTAAATAATATAGAAGCATGCACGATATATTATCACAACTGTGATCATTGCATGTGAAATACCAGCCATCATGTTATTGAAACTGAATGAATTAAGATTAGCAAGGAATGATTATAAACGATCATATAGCATTAGGATTGTCTGATGTAAGTGATGATGTAGGTGATCCGCCAAGAACCTGTATCTATTATAGGGAACCCGTGTAGGTTTGCATATTTCAGTGGACTCGTATATACAACCTAACAGACACGGATAGTGACCGTTTGCTATCTAGAATCTTTTTAGAACATTACCGGCAGTGACAGATAAAGGTCATGAAAACTTCGGAATGAAATGATTTCAAATAGTCTCACATTTTATAATTCTATCCAGATTTATTCACTCTTTATGTTAGTACGAGATTTGCTACTGCAGCCTACTCTTAATTTGTACAGTGTTCAAAACTGCTGCTAAGTTTAAATGAGCAATGAGCTCATCTGTCTGATCGAGATAACCATGGTCCCATTGGACATTGTTGCTGGTCGATAAAACTAGACCAGTTTGTACGTGTTTTTCACGCATGCGTGCTACATTGTGAACTTTGTGGCACTTTGATACTAAGCAGCATTCTTCAAATGTCTCCATCAAATCAATGATTGGTTATTGCTGCCTGTCACTCACTACATATAGCTAGATTACATATAGAAGATTATGTACCAATCGGTCAATTATAATTGGAGAATACTTTCTTGAGCACTATGCAAAGTAGTAATCTCTATAATACTATATCGCTAATGTATGTGAATTTGATGAATAACAATCTATATACAGTTCACAACAGTATTCCATTTAGCAGAACAGATTTTCGTTTAGAATAGTACGTTTTTATGCAAACTTATGGCATCATTATAATGTATCAGAAGGTTTTCTTCCCTTCCTGTAATAGTATGTTCTAAACAATATGATACAGCTGATGACATAGCAACAGACGTACAGAAAAATATAATGCACAACTTTACACAAAACAAATGTTGATTACATACAGCCTACGCACATGAAAATAAAACTATAAAAATGCAAAATCTACCTGTTGTATCCTGATAAAAGTTGGCCTTAGCAGCCACTCTGGGCTCTGTCTTGGAATGGACCAAAATACACGTATAATAATATCACGTTCACGTCCAACTCTTGGTCCTAGTTCTTGCTTTGGGCATTGCGTCCGGTAAGGCTGGCTCCGAACAAGCGAGTCATAACACAGTAACTCTGTGGGTTTTCATCGGAATACGCAATGCTTTACCCTGTGCCGCAATTCTTCAATGGTCGACACAGTAAAGATGGCCTTCTTCTCTTCTGCGTGACTCACGAGAGCGCTCCAATCCTTGTCCACCTGCCACATTTGATAGTAAACGAGATAAGTTCATTGCACCCTTATTAGCAACAGCAAAAAAAAACTACAAAACATTTCACTTAAATAAGATTGTACATAAATAGTTGAATAGGTAAATAGATACATCAATCGATTGATTGATTAATCAATAATTGATTCATAGCTAGATAGACACGAAAAAATGCTACCTCATCTACGCACAGGAGAAAACCAGAGAATGTGAAATCCGTTGGACATTTGGACCGGAGGCATTTTTTTGGCCGGTCCAACATTTTGCTCTTGCATGCTGAACCCACTGCCTGACGCTAATTTTCTCTCACAATCGGACACTCGGTTCATTACGACTGACAAATCGCTGGGTCCAACACACAAATCGGCTCACTTTCCCGCACATCTACCGGCAGAGAAAATTCAGAGATTTCACGTTCTCCGGCATAAGCTAGCGACTTTGGGATGCTGCGAGGAAAGGCTGTGCAATGTGGTGGGCGCTATATAACAACCACCGGTACTTATTACAGCGATAACGACGTAGAAGTGGATACGTATCATATCTGTAGTATGGTGAGTGAACTGAACAGTGCTAGGACGAACCTTTGAGATTTTTTCATATAATCAGAATTCATAACTCGTAGATTTCGATAATTAATCTATCTATGTATACGATTGGGATTAGGATTCAGGTTATGATCTCAGTCTTGTTTTAAAGTTTCGAAATAAGGGAATAGAATGCTGAGTAATGCATTCTATTATATATTTAATTATATTGCTAAATACTTGTGAAGTTAGGCTAGTGAAGCATAGGTAGGTATGAAGGTAGGTATGGAAACTAGCTTAATTACAGTCCATGTTGAATTGGCTGTAGTAGGGACACTATTCATGCGCTTTGGCCGTCATTTATGATCCCAGATTTAATAATTCTCGAATTGATTACGATTCGAGACTGAAGTGATGAAACGGAGCACGCGTGTGTTGCCAGAAATGTCCACTTACAGCTTACTTTTAGCATTACGGGTAGTTATAAGTACCGGGGTGGTTGTTATATAGTCGCCGCCGCGCGCTGTACTCGCACCTTCATCGTGTCCATGCAGCCGAGGATTATGAGCGAGTGTTTCGCGCGCGTCAATGCCACGTTCAGCCGCTGCCTGTTCGTTAGGAAGCCGATGCTGCCGCTGCTGCCGTTCGCGCGCACGCACGACAGCACGACGACGTCCTTCTCACGACCTTGAAACCCGTCGACGGTGTTCACCTCGACCTGCTGGGACAGCTTCCTGCAACAGCCAGCGAGCAGTGAGCATGGTTAGTCTGCGTGTCGCGGCTTTGCGCGCATCTCGTTGTTGTAAATCTTGTTGAAACGCTCGTTTGTTGCACGTTGTTTGCATGTAATGATTACTTCTTTGGGAACGGGTAAAGAAACAAAATTGTTTGCACTCATGCAGGCACAATTTTAGAACGTGCCAGGAAAAATATCCCAACTATGAGTACCGTATCACACACAATTAACTTCGATGGTAACCTAGTGAGTTGAATATAACCGTTTACATTGATAGCTCTGGTCTTAGAGGGCATTCTAAAAAAAGGGTGAAAAAAGCATTCTAAGCTATCTTCCACGAATAACACCCGACCCCCGCGCGAGCGCGTGCGACCTAAAACTATGGTGGTGTCCTACCTTCTTCCCAAAAGGTCTAGAAGAAGCGCCTTCTGCTGGGAGTAAGGCACAATGACACCGATGCTCGAGTTGATTTGATGGTCGTTCATCATGGTGAGCAGTTCGACGGTGAACTCTGCCTCGAGGATGTTCAGTATGGAACTGTAAAGTTCGCATTTCAGTTTTATACACTTCACGATCCTGCGACGCGAAAACCCGAGTACATAGATTCTTCATTCCTGGCTAATTTTATCACGAATGCACGCACGCACGCCTGTACGCACGCCTGGTGCCACACACGAACGCCTGCCCACACGAACGACTGCACACACACACGCATGCCTGCACGCACGCACGCACTAATGCACGTCCGCTCACCCACCCACCTGCCTGCCGGGAACACAAACCCATCGACATTCGTCTGTCACATCGCAACACTAAGCAACCCGATCGTCTGTCACATCGCGACACTAAGCAACCCGATCGTCTGTCACAT